AAAAGGAGGGGGTGTTTTTTCTTTAAGAAGGGCGGCCGGGGAAGCCACCTTAAAAATTTTTTTTTCAGCAAAGGGTGGTTTTTGGGGGGAAATTTCCGGGTTTGAAAAGAACTTTCACCTTCCCTTGGTTAAAAAAAAGGCACACAGTGTATGTTCCAGGGAGGAGGGAACCCGGAAATGGGGTACCAGGTTTCAAACCCTTTGGGGGTTCCCCATGGGGGTTTGTTTGGATTTTTCTCTTCCTTCTTTTTTCTCTTTTTTTCTCTTTCTCTCTCTCTCTCTCTCGGTCTTTCGGTCTTTCGGTTTCGGTTTCGGTTTCGGTCTTTTTTTTTTTTTTTTTCTCTGGGGCGGCAGGGGCCCAATAGCCATTTCAAGAGGGACCCGGGGAGGAAATTAAAGCACCCGTTCCCTCCGGAAAGTACAGTTCAGTCCCCAAGCTTTTGGTGTCCCACATAAGTTTGCAGTTTTCACCCACCCCTCCGGGTTGGGATTTGGGATTTGGAGCCCCGGGGCCTTTTTTTTCGGGGGGGGGGGGGGGGAGGTGCTTTGGACCCGTAGCAGCTGCACCGATTTGAGCGACACGGTAGACGCGGTATGTAACACGACTGACGCTGTTGAGATATCGTCCACTTTTAGAGACGGGGAAGAACTCTGAAGGTATCTACGCAAGCCCGTGGTTACGTATAATTGTACGGAGATGCTTTTTATTACCAGCTGTATGAAGGCGGACAGAGTTAACGGAAGACCGAGCGTTTTCATTCGAGGGCGGACGGCTCACGCGATGCCATGTCCAGGTTTCCCTCCACAAGTATAACAAGTAGGATGCGCAAGTGTGTGAGGCTCAGCGGGGCACCGTGATCTCGACGACGCTGACCTTCCCCCTCTTCGTTTTTGCCCGTCCCGCTACGATGCAATGCCGCTCCTCTGCTTGTCGTACTGTGCTGCAGAATATGAACGGGTTCCTGTATATTCTTGAGGGCAAGGCTGCGGTCGGGCCCGGCAGAGAGGAAAAGGATCAGATTCAAGCCCACAACACGGTCACCCTCACCAAGGTGCAGCAGTTTTTTGGCGCAGAAAGAGAAGATGGGTGCTTGTGTCTGTCTGGGCTGTTGTTGTTGTTGTTGTTGTAGCGGTTGTTGTTGTAGCTGCTGCTGTTGTTCCTGTTACTGCTGCTGCTGCTGGTACTGCTGATGTTGACGTCGTGTCTGCTTTCGTTATTGAATGGTGATGTTTGTTGTTGTTTCAGTCATGTTCAGGCTCTCGCAGCGGTTCCTCCACAGTCTATTCTCACCCAATCACCCACGAAGCCAACCACAAACAAGGTAGGATCCACGAGGGACAATCCCATCAGTGTCTGTTGTCATCGCGTACCCCCGAAGCCTTTATATGGTCCCTGAACAGGGGACGGGAGCTCACGGTGTGCAACGAGCGCGCGTTGAATGCCCGACATGTTTGAGCACTCGACGGAAGCGCGCGGCAGGGTCGAGGCTCGATTATTATTATTTTGTTTTGTACACGGGAGGGACCCAGGGGGGGGGTGCAAGCTCGTTCGGCGGGGAGGCGCCGAACGAAATTGCCCGACTACGGTACCGAGATCTGAGGCATCTTTCCGGAGATCGGTCCCCAAGTTTACGCACGCATGTGGGAAAAGCCATCGACCTGCTGACTGTTTGTTGTCTGTCCTCATATCCCGAAAAAAAAACGATCGGCGTTTTTTGTCTGTTTCCATGCTTGCTTGGGGCAGGGGGGCTCCGGCGTGCTGGTGAAGACGTTCGACTCCTCGGCCGACTTTGTCCTGGTCTGCGGGGAGCCCACCAACGAACCGGTCGTGCAGCATGGGCCCTTCGTCATGAACACTCGCCAGGTCAGGACGTGTGGTCGTAGGCTCACGGTGCTGTTGTTGGTATCGGTGGTTCTTCTAGCTTTGATCGTCGCCCAATGTAAAACCATCGTGGTGTCTATCAGGGGGCTCTCGCGTAGTACAGCAGTAGCCATGTAGCCTCGATCGTGCAAATGAAATAAGTTACTGTGGTGCTCACATGTTTTTCTTCAAACTATTTCGGCGGTTACTTGATTTGTCATGTATGTTGGCCTATTTTTAATGTATGATATACCTCTTTTGGGCATTCGTCAGTCTGTGAGCACGCATGGCGTCCTCATCCCATGTTTGACCGGTACGGGTTTTTGAAGGTACAGTACTGAGCAGGGGACCGGGACGGTTGGTTGTGTGCAGACACACATAACGAGGCGTACGTGGGCGGCATTGGCAATCTGCTGACGCATGTACTATGTCGTACGCTGTTTCAGTCATTTGTGTCTGCAGGGTTGCCTGTCCACGTTGGAGTGGGGTGGGTGGGCATCAATGGCGATGGTCTCTTCTCCTCGTCCAAATGACGCAAACACCCCTTACACTTAGCAAATTGCGTGTCAAATGCACCCATTGTTACTCCCGAACGGAAGCGATTAAGGCTGTTGTGCGTGTCGTGTGACTAGCCCCCCGAAGCATTCGCGGATACTCAATCGATCCGCAACTCCAAGGCAGACGCAATCAGTGCATGGTGAAGTCTTGATTTGAATCATCCATCCGCAGCATCCAGACATACGCAGTCAATCCCCCTTTTCTTGGCTTGGTGTGTGTGTGTGCGGTGGTGTGAAACAGGAGATCCAGGAAGCGATGCTAGACTACCAGAGCAGCAGCAACGGCTTCGAGAATGCGTCCAAGTGGTACTCTGAGATCGGGCTTCCCATGACACACGCCGACCGGCGCCGCTGAGAGCTTGGATGACAATCGGCCGTTGATAGTTTTTGTCCGAGTGGGCTCTATTGATTTGGCCGTTCCGTCGATGTAATTCGGACAGAGAAGAAGTATTGTAGCCCACTTCTTCTGTTGTCTTTGTTGTCATGACGTGGGCGCACATGGGTTGTGAAACAGCGCATCACGTTGTGTCTCGTGTATTTCTGTTGTAGCATAGAGAGAGTGCAGCTGGGGCCCGCACTCAAGAAAAACATGAAATATGTTCCGAAAAAGAACGTTGGATTGCCACGAGAGATGAGAACACTTGGCTACAGCTTTCGCGAAAATTTGAGCACCTAGACTATTTCTCACGGAATACCGCTGTAGACTACAGCAATAGTAGTGCGTTTTTTCGGGCCCGTCTTGTCATGTTTCTCTTTGCCTTTTTTTTCTTCTTTTTTGTTGTTGACGATTTCGTGTTATACTGCTGTAGTTGCCCCGTGTATCGCACACGCCATGTCGCTTTTCCGCGAGAGCGCGTTGTCACCCTCTCTTCTGTCTTGGTGTGTGTGTGGAGATGTTTGTGTTGCTTGGCAGAGAAGTAGCGCGGATCGCCGCCTCCTGCTCATGTACGACGTCAGATATGTAACAGCCGTGGATGTAGTGGTCGCTTCGCAGATGTAGTGACATTACAACATAAGGAGCCTGTAAAAAAGTTGCACCACAGGTTTTGGCAAGAACGGTTTGCGGCCCCGGCCCGTACCCACCATGCTCGGGGTTGTTGTATTGTGGGAAAATCTTATTTAGTCGCACATAAACAAGCCAGCCGGTCGCCCCGAGTGTTCAACTGTAGAATTATGTACAGATCGCGGATCGAATCTCTGTCGAGCGCAAGAACCCTATTCCACAATTGTATGCAGTGCTGACTTCGACTACATGTACAGACAGGTGGCAATACTTGATAGCGCCGTCTGTAGTAGTTGTACAACAGCAGTGACTAGACACGAAAACGCGGGGATGAAGGAATTATTTGCTGAAATTCCCTCTGGCTTAAAGAAATTGCAAGCAGTCATGCACTCCAGGAAAGAGAGGTGGTGGACTAGACTTGGTACACATCAGTGTTACTGTTTATACCTCGACCCCTCTTGGTCTTGTGCGACCCCGGCCGGTTCGTCAAACAAACATGTTCTATGTAGCTTGTCGACAACAGCGGTGTAGTAGGGAGACTGGTCCGAGTATTCGACGACGCAGCAGATAGAGTGACTATACGGGCACGCACTAAACACCCAGCTGATGCCATGCAATCCTTACTGCTGCTACACCCCGTGTTGAGGAGAAGCCGATCGTTACGTCGAAGTACGCAGTACTTCGCGGTAGCATAGGATACGTATACATTTCTACGTGCAAGTGGAGACTTCTGCACGTGTGTCCAGGCGTACGCGTTTTGTTGCACCAACAAAAATATCTGTGGAAAAAAAATCTGTGGAGCCCTTGTGGTCTGAACCACCAAGACGGGGGCCTACTATTGTAATGTCCCTACTTCGGATGCCGCAGACTGTCGTAGGCTTGCGCGACGTTGCCTCTGGAGAAAACAGCAACACAAAATGGTGGGTATCATTGTTGTAGGGTGGCGCCGGCAACGTTAGGACAGTCTCCCCTTGCATGCTGCAACCGGTGCCGAGTTGTGAATCTGGGACCCGCGCTTTCTGTGCGGACCCATTGTTGCAGAACAGAATAATAAAAAAGTTGCCTGTGTTCAGGGGTCGTGCCTGCCCTCGCTCGTATCCTCCTCGCCGCGTGCCCTAACTCGCTCACTTCCTGCATTCTGTACCTCCGACCACTCTCTACCTCTCCCAGGTATTCCCTCCCAGCTCCACTTGCAGAAGATCAGACCGATCACACGTGCCTCCCTTGCATCTTGCCTCGTGTGGTGTACACCAGCAGCACACTCCACGCAGCAGGCCAAACAAAACCCCTGCCCTGTGCAACACGCCCTTTCAAATGGCTCATGCTCTGACCAAAATATTGACTGGGGCTTGGCTGTGGGGAGCGGCCCATGCGGCCGTGACGATCACCGCGCCTTCCGAGGGCCTGCAGGTACTGGCGGGCAGGTGAGAGCGTCGCGCGTTGGTTGGGTAAGAGCGTCTCTTTCCCAAGCATTGCTGTGTGTGTGTGTGCATGTTTGCCGTTGTTGGAAAATTGAAAATTGTCCAACTCTCCTTGGGCAACTTGGTATCATCTTGATCGTCAGCCTATACCTGTAGCACATGTACCTGTTTGGCGTGAGCTCTTCGCATCCCCAAGGGTACCACTATCAACTCTCTTGGTCAGGCTCGGGCACTGGCGTTGCATCGGCGAGAGCGCCACCACCAGCATCAATTGTCAGTTGCGATCAGAAGAATTACTTGCAAGCATGTATGTGTGTGCCGCGGACCACCCCGTAGACTTCCCGCGATCTGATGAGACCTCAAACCTCTTCGTCGATGTTGCGCGCAGGACTTTCACGGTGGAGTGGACGGGCACAAGCGTCCAGAGAAACGTCGAGATCGACCTCTACTACTGCGGAAGCATGTGCAACAATTCGGTTAGTGTTGGCAGCTATAAAGAGCATCACAACAGACAGACCATGCACGCAATCGTATCACTGCACACTTGGCACATTTTTGGGGGTGTTCGGGGTCCTCGCCTCTGCGCTGGTGACGAGCGAACACAAACACACACAATCAGCCCGGATGTCTTCTCCTAGTGGTATGACATGGCTGTGGTTCGTGTCTTTCAGGCGTGTTCCTTGCTGTTCACCATCCGTCTCGATAGGTTTCTTGATGTGGACTGCGGACCTGCGTGTTCTCCTCCCCCTCTTTTTCTTTGTTGTCTTGGCATGCATGTTGTGCCGCATTGAAAAAATAATTTTGGGATCGAGGTTGTTGCTCGGTGTTTGAACAAAGTAGTCTATCTTCGACGATGTACAAAATACGTGTACAGAAATTCACCGTCAAGCTACACGTTGACTGGCTGGTCATTGTTCTTGCAGCGTGGTCAAACGTTCTGCATGCCAATGCTAAGGTACTGCTGTTGTCAAGAAACGTATGCAGATATGTAGATGTGGTGTTCAGAGACCCGAACCATGCTGTAGTAGCCTACTCTGTGTGTACAGTACTGTAGGCCCTCCCGATCGATCATGACAATCACAGATGACTCTGGGCAAGATGTGTACACACGTACGTACACACGATGCATCACCCACGCGACTTTTCCAGGTGCTTATATTTTCAACGATTATCTCCTGATACGACCACCACCCGTTGGCGACTGTATTTGATCTGAACCGAGCGCACGGAGTGCGCGTGGCATGAACGAACTGTTCGGCGGGCGAAATCCCGCACCCAAGGAATCTACGTGCACAATCACCTATCCTGTCGGAGAAGCTTGTGTCTGCAAGCCGGTGTCCCAAGAATGACCGCTGCATCCTCCCTACACTTCGTGTTGTACTGTACTGTAGTCTACTGGTCTGGTACCTCACATTGCATGTCTAGACTGCTATACTATAGTCTATCCTCAAGATATAGTCTAGTATTTTTTTTTTTTGTCTTCACTTCAAATCAGCGCTCACAGCACTAATGCCGTTTGCTCCAACCCGTGGTCACACAGAAGAGCCCCTCTCTACCCTCCCCTCCTGCGGTACTTTGCCTTCGATTTTTAATGAGAGAAGAGTTCAGCACTCTCTTCCCTCTGTGTACACACGAACTAGCGCTATCCACTAGGCCAGAAGCGGAAGCGAGAGAAAAACTCACTTTGCAAGAAAAGCTCGCTTGCGCCAGGATTCGAACCCCTGACCTGACCTCTAGAAGGTTTTGAGGATACCAACTCGACCACCGGGGCGACCGGAATTAGTCAATGATAAACATATAAATGCAGAAGTATACAGTAGGTAGACTTGTACTGCTGCTGTGATAGCCTTCGTGTAAAACTAATCCGTGTTTGCACGAAATAGCATCGTTCCGGCTGCGCTGCAACCTAAATTGCTCGCCATGAACGCGTCCAGCAGACGAGTTGATCCCTCCCTGGCGCGGGCAGGGCAACGAACGATGGTTCAAGGGGTTCGGACGTAGAATTAGATGCCTCGAAAAGGCACTTGTTCGGGAGTGGGACGGTGCGGTTGATATCACCTACAATACATGTCTATGCGTAGTTGTTGCAAACTGAACTGACACATGGTGACATTGCCTGACGTTCTACGGCCCTTTGCTCAGGATTTCTGTGGTGACTGGGTGGCCGCGCTCTGCGACTACGGCGCCAACGGCGACAGCGGCTGCTCGCCGCGGCAACAGGAGGAGGAAGCCGTCACCGGTGGCAGCGAGTTGGACGTCGTACTACCCGAGCCTCACTTCGGCTATAGCGAAGACAGCAGCCAGTACAAGGTGCGCGTGAGGTCATCGGCGGACCTCGCCAACGTCGGCTGCTCCGACGCCTTCACCCTCCTCCCATCGGCAGAGGCACCGCACCCGGGACAGCAGGGAGAGGGTGGGCCGTTCCTGGAAGTATTTTCTCCGCAGGACAACGACGGTGCGATTGCGGGCGAGGATTACACCGTTGAGGTGAGTAAGAGGCACTGTTGCTCTTTCGGGGGGGGCAGTCATGGTTCTGGGGGGGGGCGAGATGATACCACAAGATGGTGTTGATCGAGGAGGCGAGGGGAAGGGGAGGGGGAGGAGACTGACTTAACCGTATGTGCTTTCCTTCCTCCACAAGGGCCATAAATTTCATCCTTGGAATACTTGGTCATCCATCTGATCACCGTACTCACCACCATTTTGCCTTGCTTCTCTCGTTGACGTGACAACGACAGTTTGCCTACGACAACGGCCTCGGCTCGTCCACCGACCGTTTCAAGATCGACCTCTACCGTGCGGACGTCGGCGAGGGCGACTGCGGCAAGTGGATCACGTCCATCTGCGACAAGCATGAGATCGGATGCAAAGACTCAAGTGAGCAAGAAGTACAGACTACATTCGTAGAACTTTACGGTAGTAGTGTCCAATATCCTTGCCATCGTGCCACCGGGCAATGCAGGAACCTTGTTTTTGCTCCCTCGTGCTTAGCTATGTATATCAGCCTCGCAGCACACTCTGACGTTCCTTCTGAGCAATCATGACAATGTTATTTTTCTGCCCCCCAGGGTTTGAGTGTTTCCACAGCAATAATGTAAACACCGATGCATCCTATGCCGTCCAGAACGTCAATTCTCATCCTGCTTATTTATCACTCGGGCTTTCTACCCCCCCTCTCATATTTGTTACGACCAGCAAAACACCGTTGCTGCTGTCAGCACTCGAAACACCTTGCTGACCTCTACTTTGAATCCCCTCTCCCCTCCCCTTCAAAGGTAGAGAAACGAGTTTCCATGCTGGCCACAAGCTAATCCCCAGCAAGTTACAAAACAGCGAACTCGAAACACCTACTGTAGAGCGAGCCCTGTCACTCACAATGAAGCAGAACACAACGTTCAAAGACAAAGAGTAGCTTAGATTAGAACAGGAGAAACCACCGTTGAACTATGAAGGCTTGCTTTTGTCAACAAGAAGAACGACGGTGAAGCAGAAGCGCCGAATCATTTACAAAGGAAGCCGGTGAGGCGTATTCCTGGTTGTTTCCTTTTTGTTCTTGCTACATTTCTCCCCATAGCCATGCCTCGAATTGCTACCCACCAGACAAAGCTCGATCCCGCGT